GTATACAAGAGGGAGGATGTTTGTAGATTATATGCAAATACTACTCCACTTTATATAAGAGAATTGAGCATCCTTGGATTTGGTATTTGAGGAGGGGGGCAGTCCTGGAACCAGTCCCATAAGGATACCAAGGGATGACTGTAGATTCCTTTGCATAATCTATGTAGGCAATTGTATCATCTGCAAATAGGGACAATTTTATTTTTTCCTTTCTGATCTATATGCATTTGTTTCCTTTTCTTGGCTTATTGCAGGGGCTAGATCATCCAGCACGATGTCAAATAAAAGTGATGAGACCAGACATCTCCACTTCATTCTCAGTCTTAGCGGCAAGCACTCAGCCCTTCACACTAAGTATAGTATTAGGTGTAGCTTTGTAGACACTCTTTGTCAAGTCAGGGAAGTTTTCCTCCATTCACATTTTCCTGAGAGGTTTTCTCATGATTGGATATTTAATTTTTCAAATCCTTTCTTCTACATAGATTATTATAATCTTGAGATTTTATTTTTTTAGTCTGTTATTATGGCAGATTACATTGATTGGCTTTCAACTATTGAACCATCCTTAGATCTTGAAATAACAATGCTTGGTCGTGTCGAATCATTCTCATTATATATTACTTACTTCTATTTTCTCTTATTTTGCTAAGGATTTTTGCATCTGCATTTATGAAGGATGCTGGTTTGTTCTCCTTTTTTGCACTGTCTTCGTCTGATTTCAGTATCAGAGTGTCTCAGTCTGCTCAGGCTCCCATAACAGAATACCATAGGCTGGGTGGCTTAAACAGCAGAGATTTATTTTCTCACAGTTCTGGAGGCTGAAAATCTGATATAAGGGTGCAGCATGGTGCAATTCTGGTAGCTTGCAGAAATCTGTCTTCTTGCTGTGTGCTTATATGGCCTTTTCTTGAGTGTATGTGGCAAGCAAGAGAGTGAGAGATCTCTTTCTTCTCCTCTTTTTATAAGGCTAACAATCCTATTGAATTAGCATCCCGACTTATTTCATCGTGATTGCCCTTTAAAAGCCCTATCTTCAAATATAGTCATATTAAGGATTAGGGCATCAACATGTGAATTTGGGGAGCTAAAATTCAGTCCATAGGGTAATATTAGTGCCATAAAATGTGTGGGGAAGTTTTTCATCCACTTCTATTTTCTGGAAGAGATTGTAGAAAATTGGTGTTAATTCCTCAAATGTTTGGTACACATCAGTGCATTTGGGCTACTATATCGAAATACAACAGACTGGGTGGCTTATAAACAACCCAAATTTGTACCTCACAGTTTTGAAGACTGGGAAGTCCAAGGTCAAGGTGCCAGCTCATCTGATGTTTTTTGGGGCCCTGCTTCCCATTTCATGGCCTCCTTCTCACTGTGTCCTCACATGGTGAGGGAGATCTCTGGGGTCTCTTATAAGGGCACTAGTCCCATTCCTGAGGGCTCCATCTTCATGGCCTAATTACCTCCCAAAGGCCCCATCTCCAGATACCATCACATTGGAAATTAGATTTCAACATATGAATCTGAAGGAAACACAAACATTCACTCTATGGCCAAAGAATTCTACAGTGAAACCACCTGGACCTGGAGATTTCTTTTGGAGGAGTTTCAATAGTTATAGGATTATGCAAATTTTCTGTTATATTGGGTAAGTTGTGATAGTTTGTGTTTTTAAGGAAGTGGCCTACTTCATTTAAATTGTCATATTTATGTGAGTAGAGTTTTTGTAGTATTCCCTTATTTTCATTTCTGTGGGTTGTCTAGTAACATTTGCTATTGCTTTCCCAGTATTAGGTCTTTGTATCTTCTCCCATCTCCTCCTTTTTTTTTTTTTTGTCAGGCTTACTAGATGTTTGTTATGTTGATCTGTTCAAAGAATTAGCTCATTTCATTATTTCTCTCTATTTCTTTGTTTTTCTGCTTTCAATTTTGTTGATTTCTGCATTTATATTTTGTTGTCTCTTGCTTCTGTTTGCTTTAGATTTATTTTGACTTTCTTTTTCTTTTTCTTGAGATGGGACCTTCGTTTATTAATATGAGGATTTTCCTCTTTTCTAATGTATGATTTTAGAGATATTAATTTTCCTCTTAGCACTGCTTAGCTGAGTTCTACAAATTTCAATATTTTTGCATTATTATTTTCATTCAGTTCAATGTATTTTTTTTTCCCTTGAGACTGCCTCCTTGATCCATGGGTTATTTAGAATGTACTGTTTAGTTTCCCAGTGATTGGAAATTCTCCTGTCATTTTTCTCTTATTAATTTCTAATTTGATTCTATCGCAGTCAGAGAACACACTCTGTATGATTCCAATTATTTTAAATGCAATGAGGTTTGTTTTTATGGCCTGTGGTTTGGTGTATCTTGGTATATGTTCTATGGGCACTTGAAAGGAGTGTATATTCTGCTCTTGTTGAGTGGAGCATTCTATAAATGTTGATTAAATCCTGTGAGTTGATGGTGTTGGTGAGTTCTTCTATATGCTTGCTGATTTTCTGCTATGGAAGAAACTAAACTCAGTCTTTTTGTTCTCCTTTCTGAAGGCAGTGTCTGTTTCACTGAGTATTTTCTGGGTTGTATTTGATAACATATAAACACACAGCAAAATGACTGCTTGTATGATCAATGATACAGAGGTATCTTTTTCCACTTATCAGTCATTTAGCTCTTCATGTGAATGGAATCTCTGGGAGTGACTTTGATTGTCACCGAACTGGGAACAAATCAAAGGAACTAATGTGGCTCTTCAGAGATCACAAGGGAAAGAATAGAAAAGCACATTTTGTAGTTCCTGAACATGATTGCGAGCTGGTGAGAATCCACATAGAGCTACAAATGCTACAGATAGGATAAGGTGATGAACCAAAAGATAGAAATGATCAAAGGAGGACCAGAGGAGGAGCAAAAACGACGAAGCAGGCACCAGGAGCTCAAGGGCACCTGAATTTTCAGAGATAGAGAGGGAAGTTCGTCCCCAGCATGTGGGTCTTCTCAGGATTCCTGGTTTGTATCTTCTATTGTAGAACATACAGCAGACTCGGGGAGAGTTTGTCCTCTAGACATCTCACGATCCAGTGCACTGTTCCTGTGGCATGCTGCGCATCTCTCTTTCCCCAGAACACTGCTCTCAAGTCAGCTGAAACTCACACTGTTTCATGAAAGAAATAGAATTAACCAATTGATGGTTTTGTTTTGTTTTCATGTTTAAATTCACAAATGTTAGCAACATATACACATACTTTTTTCCCAGATTTATTGAGATCTTATTGACATATAACATGGAAGTTTAAGGTGTACAGCCTAATGATTTGATACACATGTATATTGTTGCGTGATTATGACAATAAGGTTGGTTGACACCTTTGTGCTGTCACATAATTACCATTTCTTTTTTTGTGGTGAGAGTATCTATGATCTACTCTTTTACCAATTTTCAAGTATGTAATACAATATTTTACTTGTAGTCATCATGCTGAACATTAGATCCCTAGAACTTACTCACTTTTAGCTGTAAGTTTGTGCACTTTGACCAGCATCTCCCCATTTCCACCCCCCCCCCCCCAGGCCCTGGCTGGCCAACACCATTCCACTCTTTGTTTCTTTCAATATGGCATTTGTAGATTTTACATATAAGTGAAAACATACAGCATTTGTCTTTCTCTATCTGACTTATTTCCCCAGCTTAATGGCCTCAAGGTTCATGCATATTGTTGCAAAAAGCAGGATTTTCTTCTTACAGCCGAATACTATTCTATCATATGTACATACTTTGCCTGATACTTATAATTTAATTAGGAAAATGACTTTAAAGTTGATTTATAAGAAATTATGGCTTGGCAGTAGATTATAGCCATCCAAAACCAAAAAAATTAGAGACTTTTTTTAAATAAAATTGAAGTAAAAACAAAAAACTAATTGAAACGAAAGCCTATTATCCTGTGAAGCCAAAAATAACATGCAATGGATGTTACAGGCATTCGTAGAATTATTCTATTACTTAAATTTGATCTTATGTTTATTTTTTTATCTTGGTTTTGTCATTTTCCTTGTTAATCTCTTTCATCATATTTGGGCATAATAATTCATGTTGATTAGGTTCAGAGTGTTGATTTTTCAAACTACAATGGTTATAACGAGGAATTTAATATCATAGACCTACTGGCAAGCCAGAATGTCTCCTGTGAGGGATGAAAGTTCAGGGCGATTCCTTTTGGCATCGTAGGTTTATGTTCAGACTACACTAAACTGCAAATCTGTAGACAAACTACTTACCTAGGAAAATTTAGGTAAAATACAAATTGGTGAAGCCTCTGTTTGACCTTTTGAAAAGCTGTTAGTTCCTAAAGAATTAAGCGTATGATTATACTAGTTCACTCATTCAGAGTTCTGACTTTATCATCATTAAAATTTCTAAATATATCCAAGCCCAGTGATAGTTGAGAAGCATATCTTAGAAGCCAAAAGATTTGTCTTGAAACCAAATAAAATCAATTCATTTGACCTCTGCCCAAGGTGGTAATAGATTTCTATTTGTTATGCGGTGTCTAGTACGTTTTCTTTTCAACAGAAATGGCCTTTCATTTGGGGTAGATATTAAGAATAAGCACATTAGCTATGAGATGTGACAACCTGCCATCTAATAATTTAGGAAGAAAATAAACTTGAAAGCACAAGCAAAAGCGTGTTGTTTCCTGTAGCACATATGAGGATGACTTTACATTGTTTTAAGTTCCATATGCTTTTTGAAGACAATGGTGTATTGTACAAATCCTTCAAGAAAGAATCTTCTCAAAAATTGTTGAAATAAACAAATTCTGGTACTTAAAAGTACTTAATTTCAATTACTGGGCAAAGTCCTGTTTATGGATCTTGTAAGTGTTTAGTGACATATCTCAAATAAATATACCACAGTGAGAAGAGGAATGAAATATATACATCGAAAAAGCTTCAGTAACAAATACATGCTTTTTAACCATATTCATGTCTCTTTTGGAATTCAGGTTATCAGGATTTCAGCTGCCCTCCTCCATAGTCAGCACGGGATCTATCCTGACACTGTGGTTCACGACAGACTTCGCCGTCAGTGCCCAAGGCTTTAAGGCCCTGTATGAAGGTAGGACACGTGCTGTGCTTTGCACACATTTACTCTCCAGATGACCTCACACTTGCCTCTCTGGATTAAAGATTTTAATGAAAACATAAGCTGCTGTTTCACAGGTGGTTTAATGGTGTGAATGTTCGACATTTATGTAATATATTGCCTGGAGAACACTTCTTGCTATAATTGACAAACTTTCTAGCACAAAATATGTGTTTACAATTTTTCTTTATTGGTAGAACTCTTTTGGATTAGATAAGTGATTTTTCTTTTGACATGCAGCAGAGAAACTGAAAATTTTGAATCCTAATTAACAGCACTCCTTTTCTGTGCAGAATTCGTTTTTAACGCAGAAGCATTTTCTTGAAATTTTTGTTGGACAATAATGCTGATACTGCTTAAGTAAAGGAAATTTCACTAAATGAGATTTTGTTGTCAAAGTGGAGACTTTTAATTGAGAAAATTATTTTGGTTTTACTGTTTGGTCATTGCCAGGCATGGGGATTGGGTTCTGTTTATTTTCATAGTTTTGGATTTTGTTTTGCTGTAATTATTGAACCAATTTTGTGGCAGAAATATTAAAAATTAGAAACGAGTTCAGCCTTTGATAGAGGAAATAATACGGATGATCTTTTCAAGCACTCAGCTTTAAGAAATTGCACCAGTAAAACTTTAAGTGTCAATGCTGAGGGGTGTCTTTTGTTGTCTTGTTTCACACAGACATTTTAAATGTTCTTTCAAGTGTAATGCGAAAGCTGTTATTTTTAACAAATAAACTCCAGAGACCCTGAAAACAAAAGAAAGACTACAGGTTGGGTATAGGCCAGTCCCCATTTACAATACACCCTGATTACATCGGATGTTGTTCGGTGTTGAGTCCTGTCTGCATATGTCCTTATTTGCACTACTCAGTGTACTTGGGCAAAACTCGTTCTTTGTGGAAAGATAAAATCTACATATGCTTTGTGCAACTGAATTTAGCTACTATGCACTTCTCAGAAAACATAAGGTAGAGCGTCTTCTCTGCACAGATGCATAAGTAGTCCAATTTATCCTTTTATTTAAAGTTTTGCGTGGTACGATGTTTAAGATTTTATACTATGCTTTTTTTTTTGCATTGAGTTAACATTGGTTTATAACATTATATAAATTTCAGGTGTACACTATTATATTTTGATTTCTATTCTGATTTCAATGTTTTCCAGGACACTACGTTTGTACATAAACCATCATCAGTGTCCTGAAAGGGTTAACCACCTTTAAGCATATTACTGACTATTAGGGAATAAGTTAATACTTGTAGAGTAACAGCCTAATTTAGGATTAATAGATTTTATTAGCTTTAAAATTTGCTTATTTCTGCCACTTCCTATATACTTTAAATTCATGTAATTTCTTTTTCACTTAACATTATAAAAGTGTCTGTAAGGAAATTCATCCTAGTTGCCTGTGAAACTTACCTTGGTTGATCAACATACATTGAGATTTGCTCAGAAAGTTGTTAAAGTTTCCACATCTTAGAAATCTTGGCAATTTTCATCCCTTTCCTGGTAAAGTTGGTACTTGAGTATAGTGTCTTGCTGAACTTCCTAAGATAAACGTAGAAGCTCTGTTGATGTTGAGTGATTGCAGAATGAATAATTCTATTGAATCTCCCTGGGCTGTTGTTGTTGACATTACTGGTTGTCATAATGGCGTACAAAACGATTGGTGAGATTGTCTCTGTTAGAAAAATATTTATGAGTTATTAAAAAAATAGAAAAATGAGTAGAAAAGTGGACAGGACCATAAGTTAACTGTGTTTTTAAAAATGTTGATATGTGGAAATGCTTTTTTTTTTTAATTTATATTTTAAATAGTGATGTTACAGTGGAGTCTGATATTTACAACTAAATGCAAGCCTTTATTTTTTAGTAAATTGCTTTGTCAGTGAAACAAAAATTGTATCCAATATCTAACATCTGTATTTTAAAAATATTTCTCAGTTAGCTTAAAGGTCCCCCGAGAAAAGAATTTGTACTATCTGAAGAAATAAAGCTAGTTATAGACTAAGCAGAAGATTAAACCCTAGAGAATTTACCTAGAGGAGAGTAGAGCTTTCAATGCAAATGCCAACTGAGTTATCAATGGTATCAGTCCCCACAGGGAATTTAGATACAACCATCACTTTTCCGAGGTAGTGTCACAGGAAAAAGTGATATTTTATTAAGACAGTGTATAAGATATGCAAATACACCTATTCAAATGTAATATAAAGCAGAAGTAATGATAATCATCAGAAAAATATCTGCAAACAGAACATTGAATCCTTTTGATGATTCAGATTTCCTTCTTTCTCATTAGGTTTTCTTTTGATAAGATTATCCATCAAGTAATTTATATAAGCCAAGTAATATATGAAAACTTTGATGTATTATCCAAGAGCTCTTAAGAAAACAGTTTAAATATAAAATACTAAATCAACTTTTTAAAAAAAATCATTTTCTCTTATCCTTAAACTAGTGCTTTTTTCTTCCAATTAAAATTAGGATTTATTTAGTATTACCAGATTGATGTTTAAATTTTTAAGTTCATTGACTTGAATTGGAGAAAATCTTCTAAATTTTAAAAATCTGTCTAAACATAATAGCCTCGGTAACAAACTTCGTAGGCATTGAACTTTATAGCCCCCTGGCAGTAATTTGGAAAAGGTACTATTTACAGAAATTATTATTCATACCTGGAAATATTAAGCTACATAACAAGTATGGACACAATAAATTAAAATATTCTAATTAATATATTCAGTCATTGAATTTAACCCTGAAAATTAAATGGAAATATTTATAAACTTTGCACTATTGTTACTCACATACTGTAATTGACTCTGTGAAAACAGAGCCCTTCAGGGTCTATTGAGGAAGTTTATAGATTGTTGGTGAAATGAGCATATTTTAACCCATAAATACAGAACAATAAAATTGAAGTTAGTAATTTAATAGAGTGTTTTGTAATATATTATTTGCTAGTTCCATCACTGAACATTATTCATCATGACAAATTAAAGAATTTGCCCAATTTTCTTCGGTAAATTTAAACAAAGTAGTGGAATTATGCCTAATTTACAATGAGATAGATTACTATCAAAATTCCTATGCATGCCCAATATTGAAGTACTGTGTAAATAAATAGCATTTATCCATGTATTTCTATTTGTCTACCGTCTTTCATCAATATCTCAATTACGAAAAAAAGTTATTTTTTATTTTGTCATCAAGTTTGTGATTTAAGAAAAAATCATGTAGGAGGTCAGACAATTGACATGGCATGTAAAGACATGACAATATTATGTCATGACAAACAGGCATGACAAGGTGTGGCAACCATTAGACTTGAGGACAAGGAGAATAAACCAATTTGGTGACATCATGATAATCTAGAGACTATGCCCCAAATGACATGTCACTCTGATGCTTTTTTTATTTTTTCACTTTTTAAAAGGGAATGCCTGTCTTTTTTAACGCTTTTTCTTATTAGTGACGAAATAAACTGTTAGAAACGTGACTATATGATGAAAGCTCTTGGACACCAAACTTTGATTATTTTGGTTCTGCAGTCTGATTTACTTGTAAACGAAGTTTCTTTCATTAATGCACATCTTTATTTTTATCTTGAATATTATTTTGAATGTTTCATAGACTGGTAATTTTTTATTCATTGACTTAATAATTTAAATCTTGATTATAGTTTAAAAATTTAGTTTTCGTGAATTATTGAATATGATTTATTTGAATTTTTAGATTTTTTTGTAGGTGAAATAAGTTTTCTTTGACAGTAGTTGTATTTTTTATAATCCACGATTTTGTGTGAAATAGAATTTTTATGTAAAATATAACTTATATTTGGATAGAAAACAATAAGTCTATGAATCAAAATAATGAGTCCAATGTGAATTTTCTAGAATCAATACTTGCCTCATATAGAACATTTCTCAATGGTATAGGACAATTCCATTGATCAGGAGCTAAATTTTCTTTGAACAATCGGCAAAGGCTTTATTCATGGGATGGCAGGTTTTTTAAAGAAATGGGAATGAAAATCATATGCACATTTTGACATAGGTATTTGCATTTGCAATAATCGTTTGGCTAGGCAGAAAGAAGGTTAGATAGGATTCCTATCTAAAGCAAAGCCGATATGAAATGGTACAAACCTATTTTCTTTAAGCTTACCTTAAATATGCAGCTGACATAGTAGTTGAAAAGGGAATATTTTAACTACAAATACTGACAGTCAAATATTTTGATCACGAAATACTAATTTTACACGCTCAACATTTATCTCAGCTTCCCCAGGTGCCACCTTTGAGTACATTGGCCTTAAACTTTACACATTAAATCTATAAATCTGAAAGAGTCGAAATCCATTTTAATGAAAAAATACTGGAGGTATAGTGAGGAGGAATTCAACATTACTAAACAGTAAAACTTTACTTGTGACAGGAAATTATGTTTCATAGAAATAGCTCATTAGTTGGACTGGGAAAAACAATGGCCCATGGAGATGGTTTAAGAGATTCCCTTGGGTTATAAAATGCTCTTGTTAGGGAATTCTTCTCTTTCAGGTTTTTCTTTTATGTCTTGAAATCATTCATTTTATCAATTATAATATTATGTTCTGTTTACTCAGTTGTATGTATCTCTGTGGATAGACAGGTAGATGTGTCTAGGATGGTAGTAACTCTTATATGCATTTTTTTATTAAATCCTTACAAGATTCTTATAAGTGAAGTAAAATTATCTAATATTATCAGATAGAGAAAGGGAGGTAGTGACCTTTAGTAATTTAGTTTGCCAAGGTCTCATAGCTATTAAATAGTGAAAGCAGAAATTAAACACGTCTACCTGTTTTCAGAAGTTGTAATTTTTAACCACTTGCTATAGATCCTTTCGTATACTTAACTTTATTTGTGTGTTCAGACATATGCAAAAGCACACTCATGAATACATGCATATATATGTGTGTATATACACATG